CCAACTCTACTTCTTTTGTGATATTGTCTCTCATTTAGGGAAGGTTGAAGGGGAAGACTAGGGAGTATGCTGTTCTATAGAGTTTGGGACTTTATCCTGTAGGAATGGAGGGCCACTGAGTGGTCTTAAGGAGGTCAGCTTCATTTTTTTCTTTTTTTTGAGACAGAGTCTCATTCTGTGGCCCTGGCTGGAGTGTCATGGCATCATCACAGCTCACTGCCATTCAAACTTCTCATCTCAAGTGATTCTTTTGCCTCAGCCTCCTGAGTAGCTGGGACTACAGGCACCTGCCTCAGTGTTCAACTAGTTTTCCTATTTTCAGTGAAGATGGGGGTCTCACTCTTGCTTAGGCTGGTCTTGAACTCCTGAGCTCAAGGGATCCTTCTTTCTTTCAAGGGGTCCTCCTGCCTCAGCCTCCCAGAGTACTAGGATTACAGACATGAGCCACAGTGCCTGGGCTTTTTTTTGGAAAAGGAAAAACTAGAACTTGCTTCCTGGAGTCTAACCTTTTTATATCAACTCTAAAGTTGAAAATAGTTTCTGCACTTGGTTCCTGATCAAGACTTGAAAATTACAGAATTAAATTTTTCAATTTTTGATAGTCATGATGAAGAAAAATCCTCTTGTGGTACAAGAAGTGATGGTAAAATGTAAAGCCGTATTTTTCGTACGTATTTTTCCTGATGATTCTGTATAGATGTACAGTATGTCATACATGTAGATATGAGAACACAGCCTTGGTGTACACTGGTTTAATTTTCCCAAACACTCAGCACTCAGATCAAGACACAGAATGATCTCAGCCTCTCAGAAGAGCCCATTCATACCTCTCTCAGCAAATACTCCCACTCCCTCCAGCAAGGAAACCGCTATGCTGCTTCCATAAGTGGAATTTATACAGGTACACTCTTTTGTGCCTGGCGGGCTTCCTTCTCTCAGCCTTACGTTTGTGAGATTCGTCCACACATCATTTTGTATAGCAACAGTTCATTCATTCTCCAGACTGTATGGGATTTTATTGTATGGGAAACACCACAGTTTGCTATCCACTCTTCTGCTAATGGCCATTTGGGTGGTTTCCAGCTTTTGCCTGCTGTGGTCATGTGGCTATGTGCATTCTTCTACACGTGCAAAGTGTTCTGGCTGTTCCACATTTTTGCCAACACGTGCTGTTGTCAGTTAATGACATTTTTTTAAACCAATGATTCATAAATTTCTAACAGTTGAAATTATATTCAAATGATCTAACAGCTCTTTTCATCTAGTAATGATGGTAATACAGTGTTGACTCCCCCCCCCCCACCTTTTTTTGAGAGTCTTGCTTTGTTGCTAGGCTAGTGTCCTGGCCTCAGCACAGCTCAAAGCAACCTCAAACTCCTGAGCTCAAGCGATGATCCTGTCTCAGCCTCCTGATTAGCTGGGATCACAGGTGCCTGTCACAACACCTGGCTAGTTTTCTAACTTTTAGTAGAGATGGGATCTCGCTTTTGCTCAGGCTGGTCTGGAACTCTGGAACTCAAGCAATCCTCCCATCTGTGCTTCTCAGAGTGCTAGGATTGCAGGTGTGAGATACTGTGCCTGGCCTCATTCACATTTTTAAAGTGAATGAATTTTGAATCTAGAGGAAAGTATTGTGAAACAATGAAGCTTTAACTTATAGCTTGAGGAAGAAACATTAGAAGTGCTATGGTCGGCTGGGTTGTCACCCAAAGGCCACTCAGCTGCAAACAGGCATTTTTCAAAATATGTGGAAGACAAGGATAAGTGGCCACTGCCAGCAGTGGTAGTGACAGGAGCCCTCTCCCTGCCTTCTCCCATCCCTGGGCCTCACATCCAAGGGTGTCCAGGTCTGATGACTCACAGCCCAGTGGAGGCTCACGGGCTGGCGTGCTCCTACATGCTTTATCATTACAAGCCTTTGTGCAGCCATACTATTCATAGTCTCAACCAGCATACCAAAGAGGTGGAAGACATGTTATTATCCCCATAGTACAGAAGAGAAAACTGAGGCCCAGAAAAGAGATTGTCCCCAAATCAGGCAGCAAGTAAGGCAGCTGAGTGAAGCCAGAACCCCTATTTCCCAGCACTGTCATTTGGATAACATTTTGCTGAAGGGCTACAGCTGCTCTCCTACTCAAAGGGAGGAATAGAAGACCTGAAAACAGAATTTCAAAGGGCCTGTCTCTCTGAAAACACTGTTACCTCAGAACCGATCAAGCCCTCTGTCTTCTGTTCTAGTCTATTTGTCCCTTTCCCCTCCCCCATCTGTATGACTTATCATGTCTCTCTCCCTTCCTCGCTCTCATTTTTTAAACTAGCTAAAATATGAAAATAGAACATCCTAGATATATAAATATTCTCCTTGTATTTATTAGCTATGAGTATGTTCCCTGTCTTAAACTTTTATTAAACTGGGGAATTTAATCTTTTAAAAACAAAACTAAAAACCAATTAGGTTGCCCAGATTTGTAACTTTCTTTTTTTTTGGTATTTATTAATAGTTTATCATTCATATTCATAGCTCAGGAACACAGGTCAGTGACAAATGTCTATGTAGATCAGCCCAAAGAAATTCTTTATATTTCAAAATTATTTTATGCTCTGAAAGACACCAGCCTTCCTCATCTCCTCAAAATCTTTCATAGAATCATAATTTCTGTAGAAATCTGCATATGCCTTCTTTCTTGGTTCAGCCACAGCAAACTTATAGAAAACTGCAACCCCCAGGGATACAACAAATGCTCCAACAATATGAATCCACAGGCACCTGGCCAAGAGGCCACACATCCAAGGTTCAGCCAAAGCACTGGAAGCCATGGTAGTTACTATCCTTGATGGATTGCCAATCTCAACATGTCCTTCCCAGCTGAGGTACACACAACTGCCGTATCTTTTTAGTTGTAGACTCTAGGCTAGTTACAAAACCTGCCTCAATTCTCTTACCTGTAAAATGGGGGTAATAATAGCACCTATGCCATAGAGTCAAGGTGAAGATAAAATAATCCGACATATATAAACAGCTTTAAATGTGTGTAACACCTTGGTGTGGCATTTGCTGATATTATGTAGTATTTTTTAAAAAAACTTTCCCTAGAGAGGAGAGGCCCTCAATTTTGTGTGTTCCATCTTGTACTAGAAATTCTGCCTGTACTTACCTCTGAATTTTTCAGATGAAGCTCTCACTGGAGTGGTCAATGGTTAAGTAGGACTTTTCTGTTTACTGAGTGTTAGTGATGATTCAGCATGTAAAGGAAATGAGTGAGGAATTCAAGACCAGCCAGGACCCAGTTCCTGGAGGTGCTGGAAGGTTCTGAGCGAGAACCAGGTCTTGAATGTTCTCTTCTGTTGGGTGACACTGAATCTGGAGCAGTGGGTGCCCCACTGAACTCTGGGAAACGGTTCATTGCTGTCTTAGTCAGTTTGAGCTGCTGTAACAAAAATTCCATAGACTGTGTGGTTTAAGCAACAGAAATTTATTTCTTACAGTTTTCAAGCCTAGGAAGTCCATGGTCACAATGGTTGGGTTCTGCAGATAGCCACCTTCCTGCTGTGTTTTCACATAGTAGAGAGTAAGACTAGTCTCTTTCTTTTCTTCTGAAGACACTGCCTCAATGTCTAACTAGTTTTCCTGAGGACGGCAATCTCATCATGGGGTCTCCATTTCAACTACTTCATGTAAACCTAGTTCTTCTTAAAGTCTCCACCTCCTAAAACCATGCCAGCGGGGGTTAGGTTTCAGCATATGAATTTTGTGAGACACAAAACATTTACTACTTATCAACCATCTCCCCTTTTTTACAATTTGGACTATTTAATATGCCAGTCTGTCTTCCTTCTGGACATGGAGCTGTTTGAGAAATGTGGGGGCTACCTAGAAACCACTGCTGCTGGCACATCTAAGATTTAGTAAAAAGATGAATGTAATCAACATCAGAAAAGAGGTGGTCAACAAGTCTGGACTTTACTTTTGAAAAATATATTTATTAGTAGAAACTCTTCAAGTTATTCAGGAGAACTGCTTTTATTCAAACACACCGCACATGCCTAAAAATGTACTTAGGCTAGAAGGAAATTATTTTAACGGGAAAAAAGTTCCTTTTCAATGTTTGATAGTATGCAGTGGAACAACTCAGTAATTCATGTTACAACCACACAAAACATCCTGCTTAGCTTTATAAATGCTTAAACAGATAATCCACTTTTGTATTTAATACAAATAACATGTAAAGGATTTTTAAAAAGACAAGTTGTTACCACGGAGGAGGTCTGCAAAAAAAAAAAAAAGACAAGTTGAAAAATTAGTCAGAATAGAATTAAAGGCCATCCATTTCTCTGACCTGCATTCTTTTTTTTCTTTTTTGGCCTGGGGTGGGTTTGAACCCACCACCTCCAGGATATGGGGCCAGCGCCCTACTCCTTTGAGCTATAGACGCCGCCCGGCGTTTCGATTTTTAGAAAAATCAAAGCCTGGCCAGTTGTCCCAGAGAGTAGAGGGGAAAGCAAGCGACCGCGTCTAAGAAGTTTAGTTCTGGATCTTCAAGCAAAAAACTTGAGAACTCTACCTGCGTCTCAGAAACTACCCAACTCGGTGGGCACCTGTCCCGGCAAACGGGCAGTGAGAGGCTGCGCTGGGGAAGGAAGTGGGTATTGGGCAAAGCGCCTGCACCAGCCAGGAGCCCAGAGGGTCAGCACGGTACCTCCGTGGGCATGTCGGCGCCTCAGTTCACCCCCGCCGCCAGGACGCCGCGGTGGGGAGCGAGACTGAGTTGGCTCAGGTGTGGAACCCCTACCAGCGCGTTGGGACTAGCTCGCGCCGGAGCTCCGCAGGTAGATTTGGGGTCTCTAACTGCAGCACGCCCAGCAGCCACGCCGCTCGGGCTCGGCTCTTGATTACTTGCGCCTGGCGGCGGCGGGCGGCGCACAGGACGGCTGTAGCTCTGCGCTCGAGGGGTCGAGCCTGGCCCCGACCTGCCGCTGCGCGCGCTCCGCTGTGACCCCGGCGCCTCCGTCGGGCGGGAGGAAGAGGCCGCGAGGGCCGGCGCGGTGATGTCCAGGACCTCGAAGGCAGTGCTGGGCCTCTCGGTGCTGCTGACGGCGGCCACAGTGGTCGGTGTGCACCTGAAGCAGCGGCAGGACCAGCAGGTCGGTGTCACGTGACCGTCTCTTCCGGGCCCGCGCGCGGCGGCCTCGGGTTTCTTGGGGTCTCTGCCCGCGTGCTTCGCTTACTCCTCCTCGAGTCTTTTTCCTTCCGCCTCTCTCGGCCCGGCGCAGCCCCACGCATCTGTGGCTGTGGCACAGCAGCCGGCCAGCTTGGCCCCAGGCACGCGGCTGCCCTCGGCGTGTGCAGTCTGGAGGTCCCGGGTGACGCGGCTGGGACCCCTGAGCGGAAGGGGCCTGCTCCCGCGAGCGCGCGCTCTTGTGCTGCCCGGCGGTTCCATTTTCAAGCCACAGCCAGCCCGCAGCGAAGCGGACCTTTCAGCATCTCACTTGGGCCGCTAGAAAGTAGAAGGCGGGGAAGGGTTTTCCTTGGGGTGCTTTCAGCAAGTTGGGGCTAAAGCCTAATGTGTTTACGTGCCAAGTGCTAATGATTTTATCTTGTGCAAAGGAAACGCCCCCATAACCCACCTTTATTCCTTTGGCCAAGGTAATTTGGTGAGATGTTTTGCGTTTTTTGTTTAACAGTTTGTTATAGAAACTGTGGGTTCTGAGAACGATGCCAGCCACCACATTTTCTTTTTGACATTTTTATTTTTGGAAATATCTGCGATTCACTGATCAGTTACTTGCCGTCTCTTCTGTCTCTTGTGCTTCATTATTTTCTTTTTCATTGAAGTTGGCAAATGTTTAATCACTGACCACTGTATGCCAGGTACCTCACTAAGTACTTTGGGAATACAAAGGTAAAGAAACACGACTGCTCTAGGGTCTATAAACGATCCACATTAGTGCTGAATGTTGAGTGTGAGAAATAATGAACTGGATGAGTCATGAATAAACAGTCTTTTCTTGATTTGTCTGTCCAGAGCTTTGGGCTGTGCTATGTGTTTGGTATACAGCGGCAAAGAAGATGACGTCTTTGTTCTGCATGTTCGCAATCTGGAAATCAGAGGAGGGAAGCATGTGATGATACAAGAATGTTGGGGGGAGATGGAATGACTGATGAAAGGGCACAGAAGAGATTATAGAGATTTGGGTTTAAAGTGTGGTTCTAAGAGGGTAGCTTTTGGAATCGAGGCATGAGACTTCCTTCTCTTAGGAGGAAAAGGAAAAGATGGTGATCTGGAGAAAACTTGAGATGGGGTGGAAGATGGTATGTCAGATGTAGTTTGAGGTCAGTGAAGTCAGTGATTTTTGAAGAGAATCATGGGGGGGTGGGTTGGTCCTGAACCCTAGCTGCTCATCAGGTGTACCTAGCAGGTTTTTGCTGTGTGACTAAGGCTTGGCCCTTACTCTTTACAAATTAAGCCAGAGTCTCTTGGGGGTGGGCCCCTGGAGTAGGTATGTTTTAAAAGCCACTAAGAGGATTTTCAACACAAAGCCAGGGTTGAGAACCACTGTGTTAGAGAGTGGAAAAGAGGTTATTTGGAAATTAGAGATGAAGAAAAGATTGACTAGAATAACCTGGGTATATTTTACATCTGGTCCTTCATTAGGGACTTGCATTCTAGCAGTGGAAAATAGGACGAATTTGATGGGCGTTGGTGGATGTGTCTGAATGTTCAAGGAAGCAAGAAATTAAATAATGACTTGTGTCCTGCTAGGTGCTATTATATACTAAGCACTTTATGTATATCATATGTAATCCTCATGGTAACTCAACAAAAACCAAGTACTACTATATCAGGAGCCAGAGTTCAAGGTGTTGAGTTGTGAAGAGGTTAGAATAGTGAAGAGGTCTTTGGAAGTTAGTAAGGAAGGCTGTTTGGAAGCCAGTAAGGGGAATGGTTAGTAAGGCAGCTAAGTAGAGGTCACAGGAAGGATGGGTGAGGCAATAGGGTAGACATTGAAACCTGGAGGAAGTCTCAAATAATGGGATGGAGAACAAGATCCTAAGCATGTGCTTATGTGTCTGAGAAGGAAGGGTTGCATCTGGGACGCAGGTGTAGAAGGCTGATTCCAGTGGATGGTGTGGGCTTTGTGTGGGAAGGAGTATGTAGGTATGTCATGGTGTAAGGAGCACAAGATGAGAATAAGCACCTCCATGTTTGTCTCATTGGGGGTCTTGCCAAGGGTGCAGGATTCAAGAGAGTTGGGTTTCAGTTGAGTCACCAGTCCCAGGACTCTTAAGTTTCCCAACTTTCTCATAATAGTGAGCGAAGGTATAGGCCTGGAGGAGGTGCAGCAAGCAGGTACTAACTGAGTTTTTAAAACAGATGTAATAATTTTTAGGAAACCAAACATACCCTGGCTGTGGGGCTCTACTTTCATTAATTCTACTTTGTAAGGCCACTATTAAAAACCTATTAGAGTATTTTGTGAGCTATAAACTATAAAATGTTACTTAATAGTAATGACTGAATTAATGCTTTTAAAAGTCTCATCTTAGGTCACAGGTCTATGTTCTGGAATTCTCTACTTGTTTTTTTAGTGTTTGTGAGGGTAACTACCATTGATGGGTCTTTATTTTTTTATTTTTATTTATTTATTTATTTTTTGAGACAGAGCCTCAAGCTGTCCCCCTGGGTAGAGTGCCATGGCTTCACTACTCACAGCAACCTCCAACTCCTGGGCTCAAGCGAGTCTCCTGCC